ACCCACAGTTGAAAAGCAAATAAACCATTTTTGAAAACACAATGAGCAAGTATCTAAGAGCCCATGGATAACCATGGATAGAAAGGGTGCTAACACCTTCCCTTTCTATAACCTACCTCCCGAACCGAGAGCAATCTCTTTAAGGAATTTTTCTGTGCTTTTGTCCTGTCCATGTTGGAGAAAATAAAAGACGGTGGCGACTCTTGCTTCCGCGACATTTCGCGAACCAGCGTTAAACAGTCAGTTCCAGATCCACCGATCACACCACACAATTTCAAAACCCTACTTTCAAATATTGAAAAATTTTCAAAAGACAAAAACACCTTTGTATACATTCAAACAAGAATCATTACAAAGGTTGCCACAACGATGGCCTCTTTTCAAAACATCTTTCAAAATCACACACAAAGCACCATTTCAAACAATTGAAGAGTACCATTTCAAATAATTGAAAAGCAAAGCAAGTGATCTAAACAAGTAACTAAGAGCCCATGGATAACCATGGATAGAAAGGGTGCTAATACCTTCCCTTTCTATAATCTACTCCCCAAACCCAAGAAAACATCTCAAAGGTCTTTCCTGTGCTTTTTGACCTTTCCTTAGGATAAAATAAAAAGTCGGTGGCGACTCTTGCTAAACCGAAACATTTGTAAACACAAACGCAAAAATCCCAAGTCAGTTCTCCCACCGTATCACAGCTAGTTACTCAATATTATTCAAGTACCCGCTGTGTGTGAAAGAATAACTGAGAATGTACGTTGGAAATACCATTTTTTATTAATAAAGTCTTTTTACATCATTTTGATCTTCTTTTGTAAAGTTTACATTTCTACTACTTTACCTGCGCTTCTAGTTACTTTCTTACTTTCCAAAACCATAAACACAATATCCTTGGCCGAATGTGCGTTCTTCCTAGATATTAACTTTCACATCAAACCATCATAAAAATTAGAATATGTTCTGGGATCAATCTGATCGATCTCGCGAGTAACCAAAATGACTTTCCTTTTTGGAGGATCAACAGTTGTTTACCAAAAACCACGGTAAACAACAACATGGTTAACGATGATTCTGAAGACACCGAGATACCTGGTATACCTCTGAATGAGATCTACACACCACTTCCACACATGACAAACTTCAACATGGGCAGAGATAAATCGTCATCTGATTTATTTTTCAATCCGTATATGCAGTCGGATGAAAACTTAAAAGAGAAAGACACATTTCGTAATAGAGAAGATTATATCTGAGCCATAAAAAAGTTTCACATGCTTAACTCAATCAATTTTAAGGTAGATCGTGTAAATCCAGAAATGTACAAGCTCAGGTGTGTCCACCCAGATTGTATGTTCAAGCTCACTGCATCATACAGATTAAGAGGTGATTGTTGGGTCTTAAGTTTTATGTCCAACCACACGTGCGTCAATTATACTCAATCACAGGATCATTGGAAACTAAATTATGATCTCATATGTCAAGAAATCCTACCTCTCATCAGTAATGATCCATCATTGAAGGTGAAAACCATAATCTCTCGCATCACTACGATATTTAACTATACTCCATCATACCGAAAGGCGTGGTTAGCAAAGACCAAGGAGATTGAAAAGGTATATGGAAACTGGGAGGAGTCATTCAAAGAACTTCCTCGCTACCTGAATGCACTTCAGACTTATTCTCCGGGTACTATTTACATTATGGAAACACTGCCAGCATACGCCCCAGACGATAGTTAAGTCAACGGAAATGGAATATTCAATCGAGTGTTATGGGCTTTTCAACCTTGCATCACAGGGTTTGCGTCACACAAACCTATTATTCAAATTGATGAGACTTGGTTGTATGGAAAATACAAAGGCACGCTACTGATGGCAGTTGCATAAGATGGCAACAACAACATTTTCCCAATTGCCTTTGCTCTAGTCGAGGGAGAGACTGGTGGTGCTTGGAGCTTCTTTATCAAGAATCTCCGAACACACATGGCTCCTCAACCAGATCTCTGTTTAATCTCTAATAGACATGCATCTATTGAGAGTGCATACAACAATCCTGCAAACGGTTGGCATGACCCTCCTTCTACGCATGTCTATTGCATTACACATATCGTCTAAAATTTCACGAGGGAGATCAAAGACAAAGCTCTTAGGAAAACGGTTATGAATGCAACGTATGCATTAACACAACCTACGTTCAAACATTATCGCAATGAGACCAAATTGTCAAATTCGAATGCAGATAGGTGGATCGATAATATTCTGGTGGAGAAATGGACTAGGTCATACGACAATGGACAATGATGGAGCCACATGACAATAAATTTGATTGAACGACACAACCACAAGTTCATTGTCAAAGAGACAATCGACCACAACGAAGGGCTGCCAAGACAATAGTATAGGGTTATACTACCTTCTCGTTGGTGCGATTGTGGCAAGTTTCAAGCCTTTAGTATGCCTTGCTCTCATGTCATTGCGACATGTGCCTATACTCATCAAGACGCATTATAACTTCTATCTCCCATTTACAAGTCTGAAACCTTGCTCAACGTATACAACAACAACTTCCCTTTGGTAGCGAAACCTGATTATTGGCCTGCATACAACGGCGAAATAATATGGCACAATGACCAAATGCGAATGAATAAAAAGGGTCATCCCAAAAGCAAGCGCATCACAACTGAAATGGACTCCCTTGACAAGTTGGAAATAAAGTGTGGTTTATGTCGTTAGGTCGGACACAATCGCAAAAATTGTCCGACTCGGGCTACTAGCTCAACCACATAAAAATTGTATTACAAAACATCTTTACTTTTTTAAGTTATAAATATTATGGTTTTTCATTAAGAGCATTTGTTACAACAAACCTTACGCAAACAACAAAGAAAAACACGATAAAACGTCTAAGAAATTACAATCGTTAAAACAATTTCATCTGACCCATGCATCATTAACATTACGTCTTTGTCTGTTTTGACTTCCTCCAACCAAAAATTAGGTCTTCCTGTTACAAGTGAGGTGGTTGTTCTTCTTCGCTGGATCCTTCTAATTTGTTCTCCATCCTCGATGTCTCCCTCTAGCCATCACATCAACTCTCTCTTCAGACGCTCCATGAAGTGAATGTGCCAAAATTTCATTTTCATCGGAGGTTTAGCGGCCGAGAAAATAACGTAACCATCTCTGGTAAAAATCACGGGAGATGTCATGACGTAAATAACAGAGAAAAAAATAAGAAGACAGTGCGAGAAAGTGTGAAGAATGATGGAGAAACGTGACTTATTTATAAAAAATGCATTTTGCCCTAGGAGCCAAGTGAGATGGCGTTTCCTCTCACTTTTAGAGTGCATGCGCCATCTCACTTGGCTAAAAGAGAGAACATGCGCCAAGTGAGATGGCGCCTAAGGCAAATGGGCTAGTGTATGCGCCATCTCACTTGGCTCCTCCTTTGTGGAGTTTTTTGAAACAATGATTATTTGCATAATTTTCTCCGAAACTTGATTATTTGTGAATTTTTATTTCAAAACTTAGTTATTGCCAAAAAAAAAACTCAACATTATCTTTAAACCATATAGAGTTTCAACACTCTCAAACTTTATCATTAAACTATGGTTGTCCAACTATTTAAGTTAAATATATTTTTGGTCTCTATAAATTATTAAATTTTATTTTTGTCTCTATAAAAAAACATGATAAGTTTTAGTCCTTATAAAATTATTTTGTACCTAGTTTTAGTCCTTATTGTTAAAGTGATATGTGTTTTTGAATGATTATTTTACAGATATGTTTAGAATGTTATAAAAAATTCTTTAAAAAAAATTCAAAATTTAATTTTTAAATCGAGATTTTAATTATTTTCATCAAAATCTTCTTAAATTTAAAAAAATCATATTTAATTCATCTTATTTTAAAGAATTCTAAAATTTAATAAAAGAAATATTTTATAATATTTTTAACACGCATGGAAAAAAAAATAAAAAAATAAAAAAATAATTAAATAATTTTCAAAATTTTAGAAAATAACAAAGATTAAAATTGTATGAATAAATTTTTTGTAACAACCATGATCCTAAATATATTGTATTGATCATATCCAAGAATCAAAACATTATTTCTCTCTCTAGTATAGTTTAGTTTTAACTTAACATACAATGAAGATAACAAAAATTCATATTCATTCTCTAGAGAAATTAAAGGCCAGTTTGTTTTGACTATTTTTAAAAATGATTTTTATAGTATTATATATTTTTGTGTAATAAAAATTTATTAAATTTTTTTTAATAAAAGTTTCAAATGAAAAATTAATTTTAAATAATTAATTTTAAAATATTATTTTAGATATTTCATGTTTTTATTGAATTTTTTTTTAGATATCAAAATTTTAAAGAATCACTTATTTTGAAGTTATTTTAAATAAATTTTCACGAAAATCATTTTTGAAATATAATTTTAATTTTTTTTTGTAATTTAGACTATATTTTAATATTTAATAATGTATTCTTATATTATATGATATTAAAATTAATATTTGAATTTAGAAAAGATGAATATAAAAAAATTTGTTTTATAAAATCGATTTTCAAAAAAAAAAAAAACTATTTTTTTTTTAAGTTGAAACAAATTGGCCCTGAATTTTCATGCGGCTTTAGTGACAGTTTAATTAAGAACAAACGGTTTAGATTTGAATTTGATACTTTTAAATTATAAAACAAAATTCAATATTTCTATTTAACAAAATGATCAAATCTAGATGGAATATAAAGCTAATGTAATACAAAGCGCTTGTGAAGAAGATAACAAAGAAAGTAACAATATAAGTGTGACAACACTGACAAGTCATTTTAGTTCTCTAGATATTATTTTCCACATTATGAAAAGTCCAAAACATGGAAAATTCTAGTGTGAGAAATTACTTGGTAATTTGCGTATGAAATTTCAGGGAAACTAGTATTGCACTAGTATTTAATTAATTGTTAAATTCATTTAGCTACCACACACTCGGAAATGGCGCTAAGTAGTGATACAGATGATAGTAACGACGGCGGTTCATCTGATCCACTTACGGTGGAAACTGCCGCCACCAAGAGGCAGCGTTTTAACTTCTCCGACGGAACCCTAACCTCACCGGTACCATCTTCCTCCGACACGACGCCACTTGCCACTCTTCCGTTTGAGATTATGGTAGAAATTCTCTCTAGGCTTCCCGTGAAGTTCCTCATGCAACTTCAATCCGTCTGTAAGTCCTGGAAATCTCTCATCTCCGATCCCAAATTCGCCAAGAAACACTTTCGCTTGTCAAGAACGCATCACCATCTCCTCTTGACCTACACCAACCCCTCTCGCGAGTTTGTCCTCACGGCTTATCCTGTCTCCTCGGTCTTCACCCAAGTGACTGCCACCGCCACACAGCTAGAGTACCCTCTCAACAATCGAAACCGATTTGATCTAATTGTTGACTCTTGCCACGGCATCATCTGTTTCGCACTCGATCAACGTTTCGCTCTATTGTGGAACCCTTCCATTAGAAAATTTACCAAATTGCCCTCTTTGGATAATCCAAAACTAAAGGGGAGTTACACTATATATGGATTTGGCTTTGGCTATCATCTTTTCAGTGACTGTTACAAGGTGGTTGCTGTTTACTGCTATGAATCTGATGGCAGTTACAAAACTCAAGTGAAGGTACTTACTTTGGGTGCCAATGCTTGGAGAAGGATTCAGGATTTCCCTTCGGGTGTCCCTTTTGACGCCTCAGGAAAATTCGTCAGTGGAACTATTAATTGGTTGGCATCTAGAGATTCATATTCTTCATGGGTCATTGTTTCTCTTGATTTGGACAAAGAATCTTATCAAGAGTTGTTGCAGCCTGATTATGGACAAGTGACTGTGGTTACTTTATCCTTAGGAGTCTTGAGGGAGTGCTTGTGCATACTTTCTCATAGTGATACTTTTTCAGATGTTTGGCTTATGACAGAGTATGGAAATAAAGATTCTTGGACTAAATTGTTCCATGTTCCTTACACGGGAGATGTTGGCTCTTGGCCTTATACCAAGGCACTATATGTTTTTGAGGATGATAAGGTACTGCTGGAGTGTCAATCTGGGTTGGTTGTTTACAATGCTAGAGATGCTACTTTTAAAACTCCTGAAATTCAAAACATCAATGGTTGGATGGTTCCTGAAATCTATCAAGAGAGTTTGATATCACCTTGTTCTTAATAGTAGAACGTATGTAGTAATATAGATGCTATGTTATGCCACTTGTGTATGAGGTTTATGAAGAACCAATCTACTGGGTTCTTCAACTCCCTGACTGCAACTTGTATGTTAATTTCTGTTTGTGTTATATACCTTATGTTTGCTGGTTACTTCATGGAATATTGTTCATTAAGAGTTTTTTTGTTGGTTCTTCAATTGTGCATTTCATTATATGGTTAGTGATTTGGTTTTTCTAAGATTGGAATTAGGTTCTATGTCCTTTGGTTGTCACTTGTATGTTAAAATGTTTGATGACTGCCACGCAAATTTTATGATGTATGCTGCAAAATCGGGTGTTGCTGGTATGGCTGAAGCAACATGAAGATTCTATACTATTCTGCCTCATTCATTTGCCATCCCAACATAATATATTTCCTCTCTTTTTCACTGATTTGTTTTGTTATTTTTCTATTATTTTATCGTTGTTCTCTATACCTAGGTTCGATTTCAGTGTTTAATGGTACTTCTGTTCCAAATTTGAATTCCTAACACTCCCCTAAAGCTGGAACATATATACTATATGCGTGGAGCTTGTTACCTATAAACTCAATCTAATTGCTGTATAGTTGTTTCTCAAAGGAAGTATGTGTTGGACATTTTCGAGGAAACTAACGAGTTGCGTTGTTTTTTGCAAAGGAAGTATGCATTAGACATTATTGAGGAAACTGACATGTTACATTGTAAAACTTTTGAGTCTCTTATAGATCCTAATGTTGAACTTCTCATAGGACAGGAGGGCCCATTTACTCATCTAAGAAGGTACCAGAGACTTGTTGGTAAGATAAATTATATGTACATTCAGATTCAGATATATTTCATTTGTTGTTTCAATGGTGAGTCAATTCCTTAGTTCTCCTTTTGATTATCTGCTATTTCATTGGTTGTTTTGTTTCAATGGTGAGTCAATTACTCAAATAATAGTGATAGGTAACCCAAGGTCCAGTCATTGAAAGTGTTTTGCTGATCGTCAACATGTGAAGAAGTAACCAAAAAATACTTGTTGGGATCATTAATGCTTATCACTCATTTTCGAACCAAAATTTGTAGCAGCTGGTTCTCCAAGGTCGTATACTCTATCTTGCTTCCTAACAACTTCACAATCATACATACCATGTCTTTATTGCTTGAATTCTCTTATCTTCCTTCATTGAAATGTGGAATTATCAACACCAGACTATTAACCAAGAAAGTATGTGTTTCTATAATTCTTGCAAATAGATAAACTTGCTCGTTTAATTACAAAGAGGGACACTTATTTATTCTTGCAAATAGATAATTTTCCACTTTTAATTACCAAGAAGGAAAATTATAAATATAGATGGTTCAAGAGAAGAGAAGAAGGACGTAACATTTTTCATTTCTCTTCTCTGCTAGATATTATATTTTAATAGTTTGTTTTGGCTTTATGCTTTACACGTGTTTCTGAATTTTGGTATTCAATCGGTCTGGTTTTACAGGTATGGCTTTTGGTTTTAGTTGTTCTACCGGCAAGGTCACATATAATTATGTGATTTAGTAGGATACTTGACTTTGCTTTTAATTTGGATTCTACCCAGAAATGCTTGGACGGCAAGCAATTGTTAATCCTTGGCTTATTCTCTTATTGACTATATTTTTAATCATCATCTTTTAGTTGTTTTTTCTTATTCTCTGCTTTCATAGAACATGATTTTCTCTTGCTTAATTCTAATCTATGATTCAAACTACCTTGTTTCTTCCCATACATAAGTCTTTTTAAAGTCAAAACTACCCGCAACTCACTATTTGTTTACGGTTGTTTTCATCTTGAAATATTGGTGTTAATTTGAGAATTATTTTTGCCTAATTTCTATTTATTGGATCAATTTGGGCTAGTTTACTTTCTATCGGCCTTGATATTCATAATAGGGCTTGGTTCAGATGGTGAGCCTCCATTAACCTTTACGAGGAAAGGATTATCTGTAGGAAGCACGGTTGCATGTTTGACTTTTACAGTAAGATGCTTTCTGCATTCCCGCTGTAACTTTTTATTTACTCTGTTGCATGTTTGAATCTTTCTAAAACATTATAACTTTTTCTTTTTTTTATGATTCTGACTTCTAAGAATTTGGTCCACATTTCTTTGGTGTTTCAAAGTGAAAGTTTCTGTCTCACAACCACAACACCTGAACAACTAGCATCTGCTTTGCGATGGTTTATACTTCCTCTGAGATACATAGGCGTATCTGTATCAGAAATTGTGCTTACCCTTTTACTGTCATTGAGATTAATCAGTCTAGTTTTTGACGAGGTAAGAATTAAAAAGAGTAAGGTGTTCAACATACATACAAAGTTCACGAACATAGTTTTAATCTTAGTTTGTTATATAAATAGCTTGATTCAATTGTTCCAAAAGAAAAATGTGTAATTACAAAGAAAATAAAATAAAAAATGATTTCATAGAGATCTTTTAGCTTTCATTTGTTTTTATGTCTGAGCAGCGAAGAAGTCTATTTTGGTTGTAATTAAATGATCGTATAACAGTTTTACCTTTTTTTTATTGATGACCATTTACAAAATTGAATGGAATGTTAACATTTTTTTTTTGTATATCAGGAGTGTTCTAAAGGATCCACTTAGCTTGCTGTAACTCTCTGTCATATTGCAAGAAATTAGGATTTTGGATGTTGCAGTATAGTTTATACGAATGATAATGAACTAGAAAAGATAAGTATAACTGGTTTTATCTCAATAGGATGCGTGCATGTAAATAGAGCTGTAAATGATAACTTACTGGTTTTTATAAGTTTGAGGTACATTGGAAGGAATTTCAAATGATATTTTGACTGATTAAATTTTCATTTGCTACAGATCATATAATTAGATTCAGCAAAAGGAATAAGCAACATACATTTTCAGAAAAGACCAGATATTAACTACTTTCACAAATTGTGTTGACCCCCTTACGCTAGATGTTACTTTAAGTACAATGCATAATTTTAAGAGGAAGAGAAATTTAACATTCCTGCAGCAACTTCAATCAATAGTTATAACCCCGTTTTATGCTATTTGGCTTAAGTTTTTTATTTTCTTTTACTGTAATAATTTAATAGCCGAGTTATTTTGTAGTAGGTCTGGACATTGTTATGGGAATTGTATCTTGTAGGGTTAATTGGAAACAACTAATTGTTATGGAAACAATTGATAGTAAGTAAAGATTGCTAGCTTTTCCTCCTGTTTCCAGGAATCATAAAAAATTGTTCTGTTTTCTAGTCACTTACTATTTTCCAACCTACTAGATAGATGATGGGTATCATCTCGATAATGGCTGTGTATAAACCTCATTTACATTCTATAAGTTTCACATTTGATTGGGAGAAATTGTGTAGTCATTAGAAATCGATAAAAGAAAAAACTTATCCTTACATGCCTGTTTGTGTATTTCCATGATAAGGTCAATTAAACCGGTAATTAACACTGTGCACTGTACCTTCTTTTAAAGGACCAAGAATTCCGAATTAACCAAGCTTTAAGCATGCAGGTTAATCATGATTTAATGTGGTGGGTAGTTTGGGTTGGAAAAGCCATATAGAACTGAAACTTTTTTTATATATTGAAAATTGAATTTCTGATAGACTTAATTATTTTACTTGAGTTGAGATATTTCCACATTGTAATTTTTTTCTGTAATTTTATATTATACTTTATATGACTTTGCAGTTTTCTTTAACTATTTCCGTCGCTTCTTCAAAAATATTTTCAGCCATGCAGAGCAAATTTCTCAGGTTTGTCAAAAATCTACAAGTTTTTTCCTTCCCTTTCTGCCTTGTCATTGTTGCTTGAAGTGCATCAACTTTTATCATACTCAACTCATTTTAGAACTGCTGAATATCATGAAAAGTAATACCGGTTAGAAGTTTGTCAGTGCTGATTGCTTAAATTGAACTGTACGTTGATTTCATCAATAATGCGGAGTTTGAGAAAAAAATACTTTCATTCATATACAGATATTTTGGTGCTAATTTTCTGTTTGCATCTATTATCATCATGAATGAACATTTCATAATTTATCTTCTGATAGTGTGACATAAAATACTGCAGGCTATGATAGCTAGGTTTTAAAGGGGACGTTCAAACTCACAAAATTTACATCTTGTCAGAATCATCTTTTTGGATGGGAGATATTGTAAGTTTGTTGTGCTTGTCAGTTGTCATCTTAGCTGCTCTCATGTCTGAGTACTACCTTGTCCATTGACAGAGATTCACTAGTTTTGGCACTGGTAAGAACAATTTTGAGTTGACATGAGTATGTTTTGTATATAATCATGTCATTGGAGCTGCTTCTTTACTATTGAGTAACCTTGTAGGTATTGTATGCAGGTTCTTGACATGGTTTGTGATGAAAAGGCTACTTGGAAGCTTTCTTTGAGAAGTGTCTCAATGGATTGCTTCAAAGTTGAAACCAAATGTTTGAACTATTTGCTTTTAGAGGTCAGACAAGTCCACATAGTTGTCTTATATTACACAATACATAGGAAGTGCTTTGTGGATGACAGACGGTCTCTTTGATATCAAAGTTCTCCCAAATAAGCGTGCCAAGGTTTTAGAGTCAAAAAGGGGTCCAGATGTCAGTCCTAGGATTGGGGCTTGTAACGAGTCCGGTGAAGTTCACTCTGAAAATTGTTGTGTTGAAGCTTTTGGGCCAGAGTGTTCAAGGCCTAGCAACTTTTGATGAGGCTTGTTTATTAGCTAAAGCCTCAAAATCAAAAAAAGAAGAAAATGCAAGATGTTAAAGATTTGGGGGAACATACACTGTTCAAACCTTCCTTTTTTGCATGTCTCAACACTAAACTCAGTTCTAGCATTCCGCTTCGTGATCCTTGTCCAAGGAGAGATGATAAAGTTATTCAATTAGGGGGTTCCTTATCACACTGTGAGTCCATGACGGACTCTGATGTTGCCCAATGTAACCTGAGGTTCTTCTGAATTTGGTTGTCAGTGGATTCATGAGAGATTCTCTTAAATTAGGAATTGTTTGTGCAGAAAGTGAAGACAAGGATATTGAAGATATGGAGATTAGAGAAGAAGGAATGGTGGCAAGGAAGGCGGGTTCAAATACGATTCAATGATTATAGTCACCTTGAACATTAGAGGAGGCAGAAACTGAATCAAAAGGAAGAGGATAAGTTACTTGATTCAACCGGGGAAAGTGGATATTTGTTTCTTGCAGGAAACAAAGCTCGTGGCTTTTAATGCTAGACTAGTAGAGGAGTTCTGGGGATTCAAATAGGTGGATTGGTCTCATTGTGATTTTTTCGGGGCGTCAGATGGCTTGGTCATTTTGTGGAGGAGGAATGTTATCAACCTTATTTGTAGCTTCAAATGGGAAGGATTTGTGGGGATCAAAGCATTTTGGAAAGATGTGTACTACAATTTCATCAATGTATATGCATATTGTAACTATGTTACTAGGAGGTTAACTTGGGCCAACATCTTACGGTTGAAGAGCTCTTCGGTGGAGGAGGAATGATGTCTAGGGAGAGACTTTAACACGGTTTTATTCAAGGAGGAAAGAATAGGTAGAGGTTTGGGGAATAGAGATAAGGGTAGTGAGGAGTTCAAGGAGTTCGTTGAAGAAATGGAAGTTATCGATTTACCTTCGGTGGGGGAAAAGTTCACTTGGTTCGGTGGAAATGGTAAAGTCATGAGTATACTAGATAAATTCTTCCTATCTGAGAAGCTTGTGACATATTGGGAGGTGATGGGCCCAATTGGTGGGTAGGAGGGAGCTTTCAGATTATAGTCTGATTTGGTTGAAATCTGGAGGGTGTGATTGGGGACCTAAACCTTTTAAATTCAATAATAGTTGGTTCAAACATAATGATTTTTCCAAATTTGTGGATGAAGAATGAAAGCACATTGTTATATCGGGAAGAGGGGATTACTATTTATACGAAAAGTTGAAAAGACTCAAAAGAGAGACTTAACGTGTGGAACAAGGAGACTTTTGAGTGGATTGACTTGAAAGTGGAGGATAAGGTAGATGAGTTGAATGAATTGGATATGTTCTTGGTCAATAACATTAATGGTTCGGTTGCTAAAGAAACTGAAGATAGAACATTGGCTAGCGAAGAGATTAGGAGATATCTTGAAATGAAGGAGGATATGTTTAGATTGAGATTGAGTCAAAAGTGGTTGGAAGAAGGTGACCAAAATACTAGGTTCTTTCATGATTCTTTAAAAGAAAGGTTGGGGAGGAATGCTATTAGTTTGGTGGTTACTCCTAGGGGTACAATGGAAGGAGTTTTGGAGGTTAAAATCGAAATAAAGAGGCACTTTGAGAATTTCTTCAAGGAATCTTGTTTTTCAAGGCCTATTCTGAAAGGGATAACTTTTAGTAGGTTGGAAGATTGGGACATATAGGGGTTGGAACTATTTTTTTCCGGAGGATGAGGTTAAAGAGGCGGCTTGGAGTTGTGATGGGAATAAAAATCCCGGGCCGGATGGTTATACTTTAGAATTCTTTAAGAGGAATTGAGGGGTGGTTAAGGAAGATGTCATGAGATTTGTCTAAGACTTTCATTCGAAGGTTATCCTTACTAAAGCCTGCACATTATATTTCATTGTGTTAATTCCAAAGATGTCGAATACTCAACTTTTGTCGGAGTATAGGCCGATATGCCTTGTTGGAAGTCTTTACAATATTATATCAAAGTTTTTGGCCGCTAGAATCAAGAGGGTCAATGGAAAGATTATTTCGGCTAAACAATTAGCGTTCATAAAAAATAGGAATATTATGGGTGAAATTTTAATGGTTAACAAAATTCTTGACTTGGCTAAGAGGGAGAAGAGAAGATGCTTGGTTTTGAAGGTGGACTATGAGAAAGCTTATGGTAGTGAGTTGAAATTTTTTGAGATACTTGCTTTCTAGGATGGGTTTTGGGGTAAAATGGCTAAAATGGATGGAGGCGTGTGTAACACCTCATATCTATCCAATAAGTTATATAAAATCAGAGTTACAAAATTTTCATCAAACAAATAGAATGTTACACTTTCAACTTAGAAACAATGACATTCAATCACCTATAGTTCATATATATAACACATAAAATTCGGATGAACTGATAATAACCTGTTTAGTCTTTAAAAGTAAAACAACTTTCGTTGCTACGCAGTAGATTCACAAATTCAACTAAAAGCACCATAATATCTTGTCCAACTCAAAACGGCTTTAAGACAACAAGTCTTTAATGAAAACAACTTAAAAATTCAGTAACATAACAAAAATCAACAATAAAGAAAACATGCGTTCATCCCTCCGAGTGCTACGTATCAGAGCGACAACACCGACTCGAATTAACGAAGGTAACAACTATCCTTCTTGATTACCTGCACATTATCAACAGAGGACAACATTCAAACAGAAGGGGTGAAATATTGAACCATATAATTGAGTATATGATAAATAATTTATTAGATTAGATTATATAAAATCACCACTTCACAATTTTCAATCAACATCAATCATCACAAGTCAACAACACAACATGTTAAATATGCAACACGAAATGCGACTCGTTACAATGCACATGTATGTGGTATAAATGGAGCAAAACTCACAACTTAGAAATCTGCCAATTAATAGAGACATCAACAAGACATAAGTCTTCAACTTAATTTGCCAATCCAGGCCAACATACCGAGCGTCAGCTCCAACTTGATATGCTATGTATGCGATCCAATATGAATGTCAGGATAGCAACAACAAAATTTCATAGCAACGTAACAACAAACCAACATTGGCCATAAGTCTACAACTTAATATTTTGTCCATAAATAGAGGCAATAACATCACCCGCTAATTCACATTTTTCAACAAAGAACACAATACAACGAGTCAACAAAAATTTATTATAAATAAACTGCGTAATTATTCGGACTATTACGACTATTTTCGGTTAATTAATTATCGGTTAAAAGTTCTATTATTTTTACTTACAAAACTTCTACAATATTATTATACTAATAATACTAAATTATTATTATTATTATTAATTATTATAATTATTAAAATATTTATATATTAGCAATTTGGAAACGTTAACCGTGTGTATATATATGTCAAATTCAACTACAGTACCTATTATATATATAGCTTGAAAACGTGAATTCTCATACTAATTTATGATGCACCGCACAATAGCTATCAATTGCTAAGACCATTTTAACTATAATACTATAATATTATAATACTACAATTTGAAAGTTGAATCACTTGGAATTGATGATGCAGTAATATTGGTATCACAAGCAGACTCAATTTTTGATAGCTAAACCATAAACAAATGCCACTTCTATTTAAGAGGTATTTTGTATTATAATTTAATCCGCAATTTCAACAAATATATAACACACCGACATCTTACACTAACAACTCTAAACATGTTAGAATTACACAAAATCAATAAAAATATAATTCTTAATAACCCAAAACAACTTTGACAACTCTATTGACAGTTCTATTGACAACTCTAACAACTCTATTGACAACTCTAACGAAATTGAATATAACTCAAATTATCCAATTAATTTAAATATTTAATTTTTAAATATTATATTAATAATATCTAACATTATTATTATTACTATTAATTGTACTAATGAGAATTATATATATTATTAAATCTAAAACACGATTCTCCGCCGTTAGTGTAGCGTAATCAAATGCTATCAAATTTATGGACTTTTCATTAATTTCAAAACACATACATATACGACGCTAATGTTCATTATGCTATTTATTATTTCGCTACCGTGGACAACATTCACTACATCTTATCAAGATATTACTATGAAACATTTTATATATAGCTATCATATATGAAAAAGAACAATGGAAATTAAGATAGATTAACTATCAATAATTCAATTCCAAACACAATTAATCATCACATATCCAGGATTACTCATCAAAATCTAACAATATCAAAACCATAAAAATTAGGGGTTTCAATCTAAACATGATTCTACCAATTAATATACTATTATAGAGTCAGAATCTCACTCTTATCTTGGATTGAACGTTGCTCTAACTTTTTGATTGCACCTAACTTTGTCCCCTCTTTGCACTTCTATGTATCTCTTCCAAACCCTTATTCCTCTTTCTCTCTACTGATACTTCTATACTTCTTATTATTTCTAAAATAACTAATATAATAATATTATCATTCTATTATTCTTATTTTGTCTTATTGA